GGAACCAAGGACCTTGTCCTTGCGTCCCCCTCAAACTCTCCGGTTCGCCACACTTGAGTATAACCCACTCATACTTCCCTAACATAATCTCTAGGTCCTTGACCTACGACTGTACAATCCTCATCATCGACCCAGACTGCTCCCGAGTCTGCTAACCTGCTATCTCGCCTTCCTTTGTCCAAACCTCCAATCTAGAGACACTATCCCCCTCATCTTCCAAGGAGACTGAAAACATGCCTACGCATCATCCAACCTCTGGTTCAAAGATCCTCGACACTTGCAAAGCCCTTACTATGACTGAACCGCCTCATCGCACCATCCCAATAACCAACATTCAAACCGCGTCAGACAACCTTCTACAACCAGCGACTCATCCGAGAATTTCCAATTCTCCCCCACTTAGGGCACTAACCCCTATCCACTGGCGGAGAGGTTAACACGCTGCTCAATCGAATCCCACTAATACACCGAACTTCAAGGAACCTCAGTTCCTGCTGAAAGTTCCCGAATTCCCGAACCATAACCTTCCTTCCTCACGAATTCCACATCGGATACTATCTCTCTAACAACTCTCAATACCAATTCTTCTCTAACACATACAACACTTTATATCTTATGCAAGAAACAACAACTCAATCATACATAAACAAGATAAAGCAGAAAAACATACCGGCTGACACCTCTGGCTCAGACCTGATCGCCTCGGTCACAAGCTGATAAGCACGCCCTGGAGCCATCGGAGGCTCTACCTGACCCTGACTCCCGTCAGTAAGTCTCAACGTCGATGGCGTTGGGGCCTGCACTGACCTGGCAGCCAGCAGAGGACACTGGGCCTTCATATGGCCCACCTGATCACAATGATAACAAAGTCGGACTACTGTAGATGGAGTCGACTGCCTGCAATCTCTGGCTATGTGGCCCTCCTTGCCACACCTGTGGCACCCCGAAGAAGAACGGAAACTACCCTCGTGCACCTTGCTGCACTTCCCGTAAGTGCGACTCTTCTGACCTCCCTGTCGATAATCAGCTGGCCTCATCCTCTTCGGTGCAGGCTGCGACTGCACCGGGGCTTGCCTCTGCTCTCTCAACTGTAGCTCCATCTCCAACTCGCGCCGCCTGGTGGCCTCCTGCAACTCTAACAAGGTACTACACCTCTGCGTGGACACAAACTGCCGAATATCCCTCTTGAGCATACTCAGATATCGGGACATCTGAGCTTGCTCCGAAGCAAACTCCGGGCAAAACATCGCCCTCTCAGTAAACATCCTGGTGATCTCCGTCACCGACTCTGAATCCTGCTTCAGCTCCAGGAACTCCTAAGCCAATCTCTCTCTCTCAACCTGTGGAACATAACGGGTACTGAACATCTCCCGGAACTGATCCCACGAAACCGCTGCCCGCTACGCATCAGAGTAAGATCCCGTAGTCAACCTCCACCAATCCTTCGCCCCGAGCCTCAAAAGGTTCAGAGCACACCTCACCCTCTGATCCGCAGGACATGAACACGTGAAGAAACAACCCTCCACGTCTGACAACCACCTCATAGCAACAATCGGATCCTGAACTCCATCGAAAGTAGGGGGCTTCGTATTGTCGAAATCCCGATACTGAAAACCCCGACTGGCTCCTCCCCCTGCCGCTGCCACAGCCGTTGTGGCTGCCGCGGCCGCTGTCTCTGCAAGAGCCGCATAACGCTCATCAAAATACTCAACCATGGCGGTCTTGATCGACCCAAACAGTTCCGACAACTCAGCCCGGAACATAGCAGTAACCTCATCATGCAGGATATCACGAATCCTAGCATCCAACTCATCCGTACTCATCTGACCAATCACCTCGGGAGGTGCTGATCCATCCTGACCACCCTCTCCCGATCCCAAACCGGATCCTGACTCGAGACGTCTCGCATCTGCCATACTTCAATAAACCACAAGAACCTCAGATGCCTCGCATCACCGCCGAGAAATAACCTCTAACCAACGACCTAGGGGTTGTGACTTCCTTGACACGCGTATGGGTCTTGTGCTTTCAGTAGTACGGGCCCAACTATCTTCCACACCTACCCATATTTGTCTCAAGTATCATCACAACGACCTAAGCACAAACATACATAGCAGGCACTCACTCCTCACCTCTAGAGGAATACTGAATATATCATATCAAGAAAACCCTAGGCTAACAGGCATCACAAATCAGGCAATTCTATCATGCAATTCTGAAGATCCCTTGCCTAGTACTAGCATGCTGTTCTAACATATATCATAAACAAATAACTTGTATGGTATTTTGGGGTAACTTACTGGCTCCGACTGATCGTACCCTCTGCGTCCTCCTTTACTTATTTTGAAAACCATTTGAAAACTATTTTTGAAAATCTCTCCTTGATTTGAGACTGGATTCGCACGAATGTTCCTCCAATTCACTCAAACCAAGGCTCTGATACCAACTTGTAACAACCAAAAATTTCAACCAATTTAAAACATTTTATTTCATTCAAAAGCCATTACGTTCATACATCTTGTTTTCAAAACAGTTTAAACATCAGAGTATTTCCCCAGAACCACAACGCATAAAACATAAACATGAGGAGCGGTACGATCACGCCTTCGCCTTGCCACGATATGCTGAAGCACCTGAAACAATAAACCACAACTGTAAGCCCGAAAGCTTAGTGAGTTTCCCCCAAAGTACCCATACACACACAAACATACATATACAGCAAAGAACAACATACTACGGGTCCATTCAACCTTCCGGTTGGAATACCCCCGGCCCTCAACCATCGGGTTGGAATGCCTACATAACGCGATCCCAATCATCTTACCGGGATGGAATACTCTCGGCCCACAACCATCGGGTTGGAATGCCCAAACACCTTTACATACAACAATAGCTACTATGGGTCCAATCATCCCTTAGGATGGAATACCCCAGGCCCCTCAACTATCACGTTGGAATGCCAACATACTATGAGTCCAATCATCCTACCGGGATGGAATACTCCTGGCCCACAACCATCGGGTTGGAATGCCTACATAACGCGAGCCCAATCATCCTACCGGGATGGAATACTCTTGGCCGACAACCATCGGGTTGGAATGCCCAAACACCTATACATACAACAATAGCTACTATGGGTCCAATCATCCCTTAGGATAGAATACCCCAGGCCCCTCAACCATCGGGTTGGAATGCCAACCTACTCTAGCAGACATGCACACATATGTGGCAACCACATAACACTCTACATAACTAGCACACTAGGGCCCTATCATCCTACCGGGATGGAATACCCTCTACCACTGCTCAACATACATAACCCACAGGTATCCTCCTACCAGCGTACATAATGCAAGACCCACTACCGGTCTAAAAGTAATCACTACCCAACTACCAAGGCGCTGATCCAACAGAACTAGCCATCATACAACTATCCATCTCTCTAGGATACTAGACAAAAGGCATACTATCATATCACTATCTTATCCACCAGGATACTAGCAAGCATATCATCACATAATATAACAAGCTCTAACAACAATTCAAAGGGCCGGCCTTGGTGCCTTAGACCCTTGAGTATAGTGAGGAAAACTCACCTTGCAACTGCCAAAATCCTGCAAATCTCTGACTACTGATTCACCGGGAATTCCAACTATCACATGCAAAAATCATCTGATTATAAACCATCATGACTTTCTAGGCCAAGGGCCCATAACACTCATTAAGTCCATCATCCTCTTATAGGGCCAAGACCCAAAACCAAATCCTCATGCAAAGCCCAATATTGGCCCAATTTACTAAATTGGGCCCACCTCACCAAATGGGCCTAGATCCAAGGTCCATACTATTTATTGGGTCTAAATTACTCCATCCATAATGTTCAGTCATGGCCCAAGCCCCACCAGCCCATAAACAACCCAATCACTTAAGGCCCAAAATCAAAAACCCGACAGAGGGAGTACGCTGGGCGTACCCCTCTTGGTACGCTGGGCGTACTACGATGTTCGCGGACTGGAAACGGGACACTGACCCACTACGCTGGGCGTACATCCATTTACGCGGGGCGTAATCTTGCTGACTAAAATTCCTCATAAGTTCTTAATGGCTTAAGCTCTTAAGCCCAAACTTCAGATCCATCGACCAAACATGCCTATGATTCATAAAGTCTCAAACTTTATTACTTGGGACGTCCATAAAGCTCTTAACTCAAGGTCTTAACCCGATAAGACCTTCCTACTTCTTACATGGGACAACCAAAGCCATTGGGACCTCATTTTCTTACTCAAGACCTCTCCAATGATCTAAAAGGACAGCTCATCTTAACCAAAACACATCATGCATCAAGATGTGGGTTTTTGGGACAAGATTAGTGTCAAAACTTCACCATACATAGATCTACACAAAATAGATGTCAAGCAAAAAGCTTTATACCTCAAAAGGGCTCCAGAAGATGATGCCTTCCCAGATCTACGAGCTCCAGCCACCCAACTCCTTCCTTGACAATATCTTCTTTCTTCTCCTAGGCTCTCCTTTGCCAAACCAAGCTCCCCAAGGTCAAATATCCACAACCATGGAAGAAAACGACTACTTAGGGTTTCTGAGAGTAAGAGGGCAGAGATGGAGGTTAGGGTTGGAACCATAATGTTCCTTATATAGTGGCTGGACCTAAAATTAGGGTTTCTGGACACTGGACGTACGCTGAGCGTAAATCCAGTTCGTTGGGCGTACGTCGAGGAACTCCGCGTTTCATTTACTCTATTACGCTGGGCGTAACCCAGCCTACGCTGGGCGTACCCACGCGTGTCCCAAGCATGCATGGCCTTTCTTTGACAACTTTTCCATTAAGTGTCATAAGTGTCAATATCTTCAAAGTGCCATAACTCCATTATTCTAAGTTCGTTTCCGACGAACTTGATATCCACGAAAAGGTGGCGAGAAGCCTTACGCTTCTAGCAACACACCCCGATCTGAAACCTTCTCGAACGGGGCGTTATAATAGCATGTCACAAGAGCGAGACGAGGTTTGGAACTCTACTGCAAGAGGGACGGCTCGCGAGCCGGGCAACTTTTACACTAATTTTCAAGTGGATGAGAATGGTCGAGTGGTCTCAGTTGGAGATGGGATTGCACGTGTTTATGGGTTGAACGAGATTCAAGCTGGGGAAATGGTTGAATTTACCAGCGGTGTGAAAGGAATAGCCTCGAATCTTGAGAATGAGAATGTAGGGATTGTTGTCTTTGGTAGTGATACTGCTATTAAAGAAGGAGATCTTGTTAAGCGCACTGACTCTATTGTGGATGTCCTGTAGGCGGCGACATAGGAACCACGGGACCCCTACTAGTCAAGGGAAAGCGGAAGTGCGCTACTGCGCACCAGCTGAAAAAGCCCTTTCCCTTTTTAATAAAAAGAAGGTAAGCTTCGTAGCTCCAATCTAGTAAAGGGGCTTTGATGGATGCCCTTTTATAGGTTGGGTTGCTGGATACGGGATCCTCGTAGTAGGCAGACAAATGACCCTGCATCTTTTTTATCTCTCCCGTATTTTTTATAAGTATTTCACATTTACGATGAAATTTATGAAGATTGAGCCGCGACTTTTTATTCTATGCAAAGGAATCCTGTCTAATTTACTAATTCGGTGGAAGATACTGAACTTTTGTATTTGAAAAATGTTTCAGGTGGAATAAGCCCTGAGGACACCTTCTGCTCGGAGGGCACAATCCAACATTTCTTACAAAGTCTTACAACGGATGTGAGCTTAACAACCCTCGTGCCATGCCCAAGCCCTTCCCTTCGCCCTATACAGAAAGATATTAGTTCATTGATCAACTACCACTTGATCCCCTAGGTAAAGGAATTTCTCTAAGGTGCCGAAGAGTTCCCTCCTAATAAGTAGGCTTTGCTGGTCCCCCGCGCTTTCGGGATGCCCTCAACGTCGAGGAACATGTACTAAGGTATATGTGTGATTCGTTCAGATCATGAACTAGAACAAAGGAAAGAGAGCCATGTTCGAATATCAATGATCAAATAGGATAGAACGGAAAACGAACTACATTTCCTATCTAAAAATAAGAAAATGGAGCATATCCCTTTATTGTTGGTTCCTATTGGTGTACCCAATTCACACATCTGAAGGAACAAATGTTGGACTTATTGGATCCTTAGCAAGTCATGCTAGGATTGGTCGTTGGGGGTCTCTAGAAAGTCTGTTTTATAAAATTTCTGAGAGATCAAAAGGGGCATTGATGCTTTATTTATCACCGGCAGAGATGAATATTATATGGTAGCGGCAGGAAATTCTTTGGCTTGCGAAACTAAGTAGGGCCTTTTGAATTGAATCTTAAGTAGTCTATCAGTGGTGCAAAGCTAATTGCCCATTTTCAGTAGGGAGCGAAATGTTATACCTTAGAAAGTCAGCAAACAACGGTTGCGACGACCAACTGTTTTAGTGACGACCCTAATAGCTATGTTTTTATGAGTATTAGACACAAAGTAATAGGGGCGACTCTTTTGAGATGACATGCCATCACTAAGCTAATTTTAGTATTCAAGTGCGACCACTTTTGTCGTCCTTAAAAGTAAGGTTTTTCTTTTTTTGTTTGTGTGTGTGATAGAAAGAATGTGTTAACAATTATAAATAATATTTAAACATATTTTCCCAGGGACGAGTTAATATATATATATATATATATATATATATATATATATATATATATTTACGAAATGTGTTACAAATTTTAATAGTTATATCTGAGGTTAACCTTTTACCGTTGCCAAAATAATTCAGTTTGAAATAGAAACGAATTTTAATAAGTCAACCAAATTGCAAAGAATTTATCCTTACTGAATTAACATAATTTTGTATAAACATGATGTCATTGGGAAAGTCTTTACGAATAGCTATTTTTCTACAAATATTTATTACATTGTCTAATTATAATCCAATATCAACCAATTTCATGAATATGTCAATATGATGCAGATAACTTAACTGAATACTACGTAATAAAAAAAATCAGCATGTGCACGTAATCTAAGAATTTTTATTATTTTTACCTTTTTGAACGGCGTCTAATGTATTTGTTTGTTAGTTTTTTACACCAGGCCCACAACCTCTTCCACCATTTTGCTCGCTCGAAACCTCCAACTTTACCATCACCATCATCGCCACCGATACCAACCCCACCACCGCCGTTACCCATACCCTCCTCCATTCTTTGGGCCACCGTTTCACCACCACCATACCTATCAATTCCACTGAGATCCTCTTCTCCAAAGACATCAAAAGGAGCGACACTAAATAAATGAAGTCTACTTGTGTCGCACCAGATATCTGGGTTTTCTGTAACATTACGAACAAACTCACTTCTGGACATGCATGCAGATCTACGTACAAGCAATGGTACTTGTTCATAGTCTTGTTCAAAATCTTCATATCGGAAAAGATAATATTGCTTTCCGGGAAGTCGCCGATCATTTGAACATCCATTATATATTTTTGATCGCCGCCAGCAAGCAGCTTACGTTTTTCTTAATATTTCACTTCTCCGCCTTGTTGCACCGCCATGAGTTGGAAGATTTTTGTTTCCATTTCCCATTCGTCGCCTCCATTATATATGGCTTGAGAGTGGAGACCGGAGATACTGCGCATAATACCGACGACTTTTCGACCCACAGATATTTCTTAAAATGAAAATTATCGACTCTTTCCTCAAGGATAAATAAAAATTATTTTTAACATTATTTTGGCGACTTACTAAATCAAAGTCTAACTAGCTATCGTACTTAAGTATGATTCTTTTTTACAACTATGAACTATTTAATTTGGTATTTGTTGTAATTTATATTAAAAAACAATAGTATAATATATCCATTTATAATAAACATTGGTCGAAAGAATTTAAAATTGGAAGTAGGCGTGAAGGGTGAGTACGTAATGATAGTTTGGTTTGTTATTGTCTCTGCAATTGTCCATTATGTATTATGTGGGTAAGTTTATTATGTAGCCCACATATATATACCAGGCGAATGGACGCGCGTTGCGTGGGATATAAAAAATATTTTATATTAAAAATAACTAAATCATTGTTATTAACAATTAAATAATAATTTCATAAAAAATATAAAAAATGATTTTTAGTATTGTTATTGCGTGGGATATAAAAAATAAGGTTGGAACTTGAAGTTGTTTTGCATATACAAAGTTATATGATTAAAATAGAAAAAAAATTAATTTTTAAAAATAAATAAATCGTTATTGTTACCTATTAAATAATAATTTCATATTAAATTAAAACGTTTATATTAAATATTATAATTATGTAGAAAATACGATAATAAAAACATATTTTTATTTATCTTAAATTTTATCATTCTGTACAACATATGATAATAGAGACAACTTTTTATCTTAAATAGTAAAAAAAATGTTTTGTATCATAAATATTACCATAATTATGTAGAACATATGATAATAGTGACGTCTTTTATAAGGTTAAAACTTTAAATTGTATTACATATAGGGGTGTAAAACTTGGCTAATACAACCAAATACTCGGCATGTTACTCAAACTCGGCCTCCAATGGAAGCGAGTTTGCCTAACTCAGCCAGAAGACACTCGGATCCTTATTAAACTCGATCCAAATCTAAAGAATACGGTCCAAAATCATTTTCGAAATTCTGAAATTTAATTGGTCAATTGTCGACAAAGACATTCTCACCAAAGAATACACTCAACGTCCTACAAAGTTAGATGCAAGGAAGATCTCATGGCTTAGTCCCTTTGAAATATTTCACAACCTTTCCTATTTATAGAGGAGAATACATTCTCTTGTTTACTCTCACGATCAATGTCGGATGAAGACATTTTAATTAAACTCATTTCTTTATTTGCCAATAGATTCATTTTGTTAAATAAAATATTAAATAATAAAAATAAAATGTTATCTTCAATGTGGTGAATGTTGAACTCTATTAGTGCAATAGTATCTGGACGTTTGAATAGATGATACAACTATCTTCAATCAAGTTCTTGCACTAGAACTTGATCTTTGGTGAATTTACTGTATGCGTCCATGGAATTATTTAGAGAGGGAAAAGTTTGTTTTTGGTCGTTCCTCCAAGAGTCCCGGCAAATCAGATTTGACTCATTTATATAGGATCGACATGAAACTGTCAAAATTCAGTTTTGATAACCTCTCGAAACTAATTTTATCCCAATAAAACCGAAATTAAAAAAATAATAATAAATAAAAATAATTTCGGATTTATCTCATAAGACCCCAAAGGCCCAAGGCCATCTTTTGACCATTTAATATATAATTAAATTACTAGTAAACCACTAGTAATTCAAAGCCCACAACCCCATACTAGCCCATCTTAAGCTCTTAGTCCATTGTAGTAGAACTAAGAGAGCAAACCTTTTAAACATCCCAAAGTTTGATGTTCCTTCCTATGTGGGATAAGAAACTTTGACAAAATTATATAAACACCAACAATCCCCCACATTTTCGATTCAAACCGAAGACAATCCCCCACATTTGAATAGAAAATAAGTAATATAATTCCATAAAACAAGATATAAGATGCATAAGAAAAAGTGTCCTTTGAACTTGAACTTTTCATAGTGAGTACATATCGGAATTACTTAGTGAATAGTGACTAAAGTCTTGAACTACCACATGAAATAGTAATCTAAACAATACATATCACACATATCATAACTAAACATATATTCAATTCTTACGGTTGTGTTCATTTCGGTCTTGAACAAATCCTACTTCATGAGATATTTAGAAGATGTAGCCATAATTATCTTCATAGATGCGACCGCACATCAATCTCATATAGGTGATGCTAATCTGGAAAATTCCACAAGCTTCCACTAGTAAGCTATCAGCATCATTAAGAATAAAATCAGCCCTAAAAACATCTATTGAAACACACATAAATCATCATAGGAACAAGCATATATACATGTGTGTACTGACTTGAGTTTTCCTCAACTAGTTTGCCTATTGAACCTAGACCATGGGATCTCCAATGTTGCTAGTTTAGGTTGCTGCCAAGTGATAACTCATTGTGTTGGCTTTAGGCCCATTCCCCTCGATGTAAACAAAACTTGCTCTCGATTTAGGCCCTTTGTTAAAGGATCAACAATATTTTCCTTTGACTTTACATAATCAATGGAAATAACTCCATCTTTTAGCAAGTCACGAATGGATTTATGACGCCGTCTGATATCTCTTGATTTGCCATTATCTATTTGATTCTCGGCTCTTGTAATAGCCGCTATATTATCACAATGAAGACAAATTACAGAGACAGGTTTTGTCACCCAAGGAATACCTTGTAAAAATCCTTGAAGCCATTCAGCTTCTTCAGCAGCTTTATCTAAGTCTACAAATTCAGCTTCCATAGTAGACCTTGTGTTTATAGTTTGTTTGCAAGATTTCCAAGATACTGCGGCACCACCCAAAGTGAACACATATCCACTTCTGGATTTACCATCAGAGTTAGTTGAAATCCAATTTGCATCACAAAATCCTTCCAAGACAGGAGGATATTTTGTATAATGCAAACCATAATGCATGGTATGTTTGAGGTAGTGAAGCACCTTACTAGAGCAAACCAATGATCACGCCCTGGATTACTGGAATATCGACTAAGACGACTTACAATGTATGCCAAATCAGGTCGTGTACAATTCATCAAGTACATCAGGCTACGAAGAACTGGAGTGTACTCCAGTTGAGAAACACTATCTCCTTGATTTTTCTTCAGTTTAGTTGATGGATCAAAAGGAGTAACGACAGACTTACCATCATAATGACCAAAACGTCTCAGTATTTTCTCAACATAGTGTGATTGGGTAAGAACATATCCATCTGAATTCCTTTGAATTCGAATTCCCAATATCACATTTGCTACTCCCATATCTTTCATATCAAATGAGGAGCTTAGCATCTGTTTAGTTTTATTGATAACATCCATATTGTTTCCCATAATAAGCATATCATCGACATAAAGACAGATGATAACACATGCATTATTATACTGTTTGATGTAAACACATTTGTCACATTCATTAATGTGAAAACCGTTTGACAATAATGTCTGATCAAACTTCTCATGCCACTACTTTGGCGCCTGTTTAAGTCTGTATAAAGACTTGGTTAATTTACACACTTCGTGTTCTTGACCTTTCACAATAAACCCTTCAGGTTGCTGCATATAAATTTCTTCATCCAATTCACCATTCAAAAATGCTGTCTTTACATCCATTTGATGTATAGCCAAATTGTAAATCAAAGCAATGGCTAACAAAGTCCTAATAGATGTAATTCATGTTACCGATGAATAGGTATCAAAGAAATCTTGTCCTTCTTTTTGACGAAACCCCTTGGCTACTATACGAGCTTTATATTTGTCAATAGTACCATCAGTTCGGAGTTTTCGTTTAAAAATCCATTTATGGCCTGTTGGTTTATGTCCAGGAGGCAAATCTACCAATTTCCATGTTTTATTTTGTAAAATTGAATCAACTTCACTCTGGATAGCTTCTTTCCAATAAGGAGCTTCAGAAGATTCAACAGCCGCCTTATATGTTTGAGGCTCATTGTTAATGAAATAGGTCATGAAATTCGGTCCAAAGTCTTTGGCAATTTTGCCACGTTTACTTCTTACATTGGTGTTCAATTCATTGTGATCTTGTAAATTTTAAATTTGTTTAAGGCTTCATCTTTTGTGTGCATCAAATAAACATAACAAAATTTGCTACAATCATCAATAAAAAGTAATATAATAATTCATTCCTCCACGTGTTGGGGTTGATTTAAAGTCACATAAATCAGTTTGAATTAAACCAAGTATAACATTTGATTTTGCAACATATTTATGTGGATGACTAGTGAATTTTGCTTCTGTGCAAATCTCACATTTTGTGTGCTTGTTTAATGAGGTTCTAGGTAATATTTCAAGATTTATCATTCTTTGTAATGATCGGAAATTAACATGGCCTAATCTTGAATGCCAAAGGAAAGTTGAGTCAAGCATGTACATAGAAGGAGCAGTGCTAGTGCCTGCGTTATTCTTATTGACAAAAGCATCATTGTTTGGTACAACACTTAACTTAAAGAGTCCTTCACAGAGGTAACCCTTTCCAACATAAGTAGGACCCTTAGTAAGTACAAATTTATCAGACTCAAAGACCATTTTGAACCCTTTGTTACTTAACATAGGACCCGAAATCAGATTCTTTGTCACAGCAGGAACATGCAACACATTGGTAAGCATCAAATCTTTTCCAGATGTGAGTTTCAGATTCACTTTCCCTTGTCCTTCAACCTTGGGAGTAGTAGCATTTCCCATGAACAT